TTCCTATGTCATTTTGAGCTATTTATATTGATCGTAGAAAATGTGAACCCTAATTCAAAATTACGTTTGATTGAACTGAAATTTTTTTCTGTTTAAAGTATAAACCAGTAATTTAGGAAGATTTTTTTAAAAAAATATTTTTTATACTTCTTTATTTCTGCATATAAAAATAAAAAAAAATTCTCAAACAAAGTCAAAAAATAGAATAATTGTCATCCACATTTCAAATTACTGGCGTGGCATCAAAGTGTTGCTAATGAAGATTGTGATACAGAATTTTTTTTCCGTAAAAAAAGCTATACAATTAGTTATTGGAGTTTTTTTTGTTGATAAATATATATAAGTTTGTTAATTAATGTAAAATTGGAACTTTGGTCTTGTTGCATTCCCCGCGAAGTTTAATATACAAATGGAGCTTGTTATTGTCGAACTTTCATGAGCAAATAAATAAACGTATACAGAAATCTAAGAGTAGTGATTTTTTTGTGTAATGGAAATATGTCTGTTTTCCTCAACGGGAAAAAGTATATATTGAACAGTAATTTTATGATGCAGAGATATGAATCTAAATTTAATAGGAGAGTCATCACAAATAAATCTCAAGTGGTTGAGAATTAAGGGGAAGTGTTTCCGATGGTGGCTTTGTGTAATAGTATTTCAGCAAAGTAATAATATAAATATGTATGCAAAATATAACAGAATAAGACTATATATAGGTGGAGAAAATTATCTAATAATGAGCGACAGAATAAGTCGTAATCATTTTGTCCTTGTAGCCCCATTAAGTATAGACAAGTATTCTCACCTAATGTATGTGTATGTTTGATGAATGAAATTCAAAGTAACGAGATTGTAATTATTTCACTTTAGACATGTAGAATATGAGTATGACCATTTATATTGTTCTTACCGGCTGATCTAATAACTAGACCAGTTCAAAAACAAGTAGTTTGTCACTAATTAAAATTAAACTTTCAATCGAATTTTAAAAATTGGATTCTCCAAATTTTTTATTTATATTTGATATGTCTTTTAGAATTCTAATTTTCAATGCTAATTCTAAACAATTTAAAAATACGTAATTAATAACCTTAAATCATACATGTGTAAGCAACAAAATTAGTGACTTCATAAATTTATTGGCGCAAAGGACATATAGCTCATTCCCTTGTCCCTGAGCATAGCCCAATTCTGCACTATGCAACCGCATGACAGATAAAGAGAGTAAAGGTTTTTTTTTTTTTTTTTTTGTCATGATATATTTTTACAGATTTTATCATAATATTAATCTTTTTTATATTTTTTTTCTTTAATGTTTTTGTTTCAACAACATTAAATCTCTTTAATGGTGTTGATAAGCCGCACCAAAAAGATTTAATGATGACAAACTCACAATATCAAATGAAAAAAGAGAGACATCAAAATGCACTGACATGTATGCGTTTTTGAACTTCGATATGTATTAAGAATGAAACTTTGATTGAAAGATTAAAAATGAAAAGATACAACCAAATGAACTTCTTCCTAGTATATATAACCAAAGAAGAAAAGCGACTCAACAAGAAACTAACTAAAGAGAAGCTCACTCAGCAAACTAACTCTAACTAATCTAAAAACAGAAAACTAACTCTAGTTACAACAGATAAGTTAACAAATTAGAATCCACGTGTGAAACTTAAATTAGTTAAGTCATCCTTCTTCCTTGCATTGTATCTGCACTTTGGATTGTTGCTGTCTTCAACGATGGATGTTATCAGCCTCCCGCAAGCTGGACTGTGCAAATCAGAAAGACCCAGTCGAGAAATGAGTTGAATAAAGGGAGATGGATGGAGAACCTTTGTGAAAGCATCAGCCAACTGTGCAGAAGATGAAATGGGAAGAAGATGAAGCAGGCCAACTTGGATTTTCTCTCAAGTGATGTAGCAATCAAGTTCAATGTGTTTTGAACGTTCATGGAATGTGGGATTATGAGCCAAGTAAATGGTGGATCGGTTATCACAATAGACAGATGATGGGCGAGTAAATGGAACCTGTAAATCAAGAAGCAAATATTTTAACCATTGGATTTCACAAGTGAGTGCTGCAAGAGCACGATACTCTGCTTCAGATGAGGATCGTGAAACCGTCCTTTGCTTTTTAGACTTCCACGAAATCAAAGCAGAACCAAGAAATGTACAGAAGCCAGTGACTGATCGTCTGGTATCTGGGCAACAAGCCCAATTGAAATCAGCAAAACCACTCAATAATAAGTCATTTTTGGTAGGAAAGTAAAGGCCCTTAGCAGGTGCACCTTTGAGATACTTCAATATACGTGTGGCTGCATTAAGATGAACATCGATGGGACAAGAAATAAACTGGCTCAACTGTTGAATAGAGAAGCTGATATCGGGTCTTGTTGTAGTGAGGTATAGTAATCTCCCCACTAAACGTCTACAAGGACCTGCATCCTCTAGACATGTCCCACCAGTGCGTGACAATTTTATAGAGGCATCCATTGGAGTTGAAATGGGCTCAGTGGCTAAGAGTCCACTTTCAGATAAAAGATCTAATGTATACTTGTGCTGATTCACATATATTCCTTCTTTGGAATGAGCAATCTCTAATCCAAGAAAGAATCGAAGTGTTCCTAGATCTTTGATTTTGAATTCAGCATCCAAAAACTTCTTAACCCGATGTATTTCAGTCATATTATCCCCTGCAAGGACAATGTCATCTACATAGATGAGTAATGTTGTGAAGCTAGATGTCTTATGTAAAAGGAAAAGACTATGATCTGCTGAGGATTGAACATATCCCAGGGAAGCAAGGGCAGTGGTTAAACGAGAATACCATTTCCTACTGGCCTGTTTAAGACCATATAGGGATTTTTGTAGCTTACACACCTTTTTGGAACCCGAAACCTGATAACTTAAATCACCGTGGAGGAATGAATTATTCACATCTAATTGTTCCAAGAACCAATTTTTAGCTGCTGCTATGGCAATCAATACACGCACAGTTGTCATCTTTGCCACTGGACTATAAGTGTCAAAAAAATCTACACCCTCCATTTGAGTATAGCCCTTGGCAACCAAACGGTCCCTATACCTTTCAATGGTTCCATCAGAATGGAACTTGATTTTATAGACCCACTTGCACCCTATAATGCGTTTTCCAGGTGGGAGATCAACCATACTACAGGTTTTTTTTTCTTCAAGAGCATCAATTTCATTTTGCATGGCCTGTCTCCAATGTTAATATTTTGAGGCTTGGGCATAAGACTTTGGTTCACTGTGGGATGTTACACTGAGACAAAAATGCTTGTACATAGGAGAACAACAGTTATATGAAATAACATCAGATAATGGGTATTCAATTTTGAGAGAAGGTTTAGGATTACCTGAACAATGTTGATTTGATGATGTTGTAGAAGATAGACTATAATGATAATCCCTTAGGTAGGTTGGAAGTCTTCTGATACGGGTGGATTGTCGTGGAGGATTTGAATGTTGCTGGGGAATAGGTGAAGGAACATCCAATTCATGGGGAATGATTTGGTTATTGGGTAGGTTATTTTCTAGTGTGGGGAAATTTAATGGTATGGTTTCATCATACACTGCTGGTGAACTTGGTTGGGAAATGGGAGGATTTTTATTTATGGTATTGTTGAGTAAGAAGGGGAAATTTTGTTCAAAGAAGATCACATTTCTGGAAATGAAAATGGATCGGGATATTAAATCAAGAAGGAGATATCCTTTGATGCCTTCAGTATAGCCAAAAATATTGCCTTTTGAGCCTTTGCAGAGAACTTTGTCCGATGAGATGCATTGGTGGATGCATAGCACAAACAACCAAACACCTTAAGATGAGTGAGTGGTGTTGGTTGATGATAAAGCAATTCATATGGACTCCTATCCTTTAATAATGGAGTGACAATTTGATTGATCAAGTATGCAGCATGTATTACTACATAAGACCAGTACAACAATGGTATTTTACTCTGAAAAATGAGGGATCTTGCTACATTAAGAGAGTGCCGGTGCTTTCTTTCTACTACACTGTTCTGTTGAGGAGTTTCAACACAACTCCTTTAATGCAAGATGCCTTTTGATTTATAAAACTCCTCCATAACAAACTCAGGTCCTTTATCACTTCTAATGACTTTGACGTTGGCCTGAAACTAATTTTGCATTAGAATTACAAAATTTTGAAGATTACTGCGAGCTTCTGCCTTTGTTTTCATAAGTAGAACCCAAGTAAACCGTGTGCAATCATCTACAATGGTTAGGAAATATCTGTGACCATGAACATAAGGTACCCCATAGGGTCCCCATATATCTACATGCAGCATTTCAAGAACTTTTTCACTTTTAGTATTACTGATTGGAAAGGACAAACGCTTCTGCTTAGCATACTAACAAGCATCACAAGGTGATACGTGTACATTTGGAATAAAGGGAAAATGTAAGGAAATCTGCTTCAAAGTATTTTGAGATACATGTCCTAGCCTACGATGCCAAAGTAAAGATGCATCAGTAGAACTAGGTACATTATTATTGCAGAAAGGAATTCTAAGTAAATGGGAATGTTGGGCTGAATGGACAAATTTTTTGTTTGGTGTATGATGGGATATAGTTTGATGAGAGGTCTTGATCATGTATAGTCCATCTACTGCTTCAGCCAAACCAATCATCGTTCTGGTGTGGACCTGTTTGATGAAGCAAAGGAATTATGAAATATGAGATAACATGGAACATCTTTGGTAAGCTTTGTAACAGATATGAGGTTAACTTTGAAATTAGGAACATAAATAACATTTTGCAAAATTAGATGAGAAGAGATGTGTATTGTTCCCGAAAATGATGCTAAGCATTGTGATCCATCAGGCAAGGAAATGGAAATTGGAGAAATGTTGTGAAGATTGACAAAAACAGATCGAATAGAACATACATGATCTGTGGCCCCTGTGTCTAATAGCCATTGAAAAGATTTGTTACCTGAAGTATTGAGAGAATTAACACTCAAAGCAGATGTCTGAACAAGATTTGACGAAGAAACTTAGTATCTGCATTAATTTTTGATGAACTCAGCGCATTTAACAATGCTTCATATTGCTCATGAGACATTGAGATCCCTTTATCTTTGAAATCCTTCGAATCTGGTGTTAAATTTTCTACACCAGCATTCAAGGAAATGCAGTTTGTTGCATTTTTGAATTTGAAACCAGGAGGGAATCCATGCTTTCTATAGCATGTATCAACAATGTGGTTCTGCTTCCCACAAAAAGTGCACAATCTACCAGATCCACGTCCTTGACCATAAGTTCCACGATCTCTTCCTCCTTGTGTGGAATTTCCACGACCTCTTCCTCCTTGTGTGAAATTTCCACGACCTCTTCCTTTATCAGAATTATTGAAGAAAGTCCTGGATTCAATTGTCATATCAGGCTGTCCTTCCATCAACATTTGCCTTTCTTGTTGAACTATCATAGAAAATACTCGATTGATATTCGGCAAGGGATCCAGTAACATGATTTGGGATCTAACATGAGAATACTGTTCATTCAATCCTTTCAAGAACCTTATAACATGATCTGTTTCTCTGTATTGCCTCATTTGCTGATATCCACCACACAAGCATCGATTGTCACATTTACAGCTAGGAAGAGGCTTTAAATTGTCTAATTCATCCCACATGATTTTCACATCAGTAAAGAAATCACTTACTAATCTTTCTCCTTGTTGCATCTTGTAGATATCCTCTTGCAAGTCTAAAACACGAAAAATATCAGACTGTTGAAATCTATCTCTGAGATCTATCCATGCATCTTGAGCCTTATCGATCCAGAGTATTGACTTCGCAATAGAATCATTAATGGAACGATGAATCCATGCGAGCACAATAGTGTTACATCTTTGCCATGCGCTGAACGAATGATCTTCAATTGGAGGAGGTTGAATGCTTCCATCCACAAATCCTAGTTTGTTTTTGGAAAGCAATGCCATCATCATAGCTCTTGGGTGCTATGGTAGTTTCTTCCATCAAGCACTAGACTCACCAATACCAGCGCTGGACTTTCATTAGAATGGAGGAAAAGAGGATTTCTTGGATTTGTGAGGAAATCTAGAAGAACAACATGATTTGCCATAATTGTTTGATCGCAAGTTACATCGAAAAATGGTAGCACCAGAGCTTAATGCTCTGATACCATATTAAGAATGAAACTTTGATTGAAAGATTAAAAATGAAAAGATACAACCAAATGAACTTCTTCCTGGTATATATAACCAAAGAAGAAAAGCTGACTCAGCAAGAAACTAACTAAAGAGAAGCTGATTCAGCAAACTAACTCTAACTAATCTAAAAATAGAAAACTAACTCTAGTTACAAAAGATAAGTTAACAAACTAGAATCCACGTGTGAAACATAAATTAGTTAAATCATCCTTCTTCCTTGCATTGTATCTAGGGTTGTCAAAATAGGCTGAGCCCGCCGGGCTGGCCCGCCCTGCCCGCCAAACGGGGCGGGTAGGCTGAGTTTTTCAACCCACCAGCCCGCCAGCCCATCAAGATCAGCCCGTCACGGGGCGGGCTAGCCCGACAAGCCCTTTTTTTTTAGGTTACCCAATTATTATGTAGCTTCGTGCCTTAGATTTCTCTGCATGCAAGTGGCTTTTTCGAATTGTTGTGGACAACTCATACAACACTTTGTTACTTGTTTTGTTACTCTGTTTTACCCAGATATGATTTTTATTATTATTATTTTTGGATTGAAAGATGCATATTTATATGCAGATTATTAAACACTGGTCTTCTTGGTTTCATATGCACATTAGGATTTTATGCAGATTTTTTTATGTGTTTTTATGCAGAATTTAATTTTTTGTATTTAACTTTTATGATTTTTTTTATTTTAGGTGGGTTGGCCCTAGCCCGTCAGCCCACTCATAAAACGGGCCGGGTTGCTCAATTCAACCTATTTTGTCAAAACGGGCCGGGGCGGGCCAGTGGCGGGACGGCCTGTATTCCCAGCCCTAATTATATCTGCACCTTTGGATCGTTGCTGTCTTCAACAATGGATGTTATCAATCTGTCGACATTTAACTAACATCAACAAATCTTTTCATACTTTTAAAGCGTGTGTCGGTCTAACTGGGTTGAAACGAGTTAAGTTTTGGTCTAAATAGATCATATTTATACAAAATGTTTTGAGTTTTGAGTCTGAACTGAGTTTGATGTAGGCTACATTATAGAGTTTGCCTAGCCTATATATAAAAATAAAAAATATTGGCATATAATTATTAGCCTGTTTAAACCTATCAAGTCTTTAACAACCACCAAAATTTTAAAAAAAAATATGAAATAATTTTTTATTAATTAAAAGCGTTTGATGTTTCTCATGTTGTAGGAGATACATTTTATCTCATGAACACATATAAACTAATAAAAGTGTGCGAGATCTATGTGAACCCATTTGAGGAGAAGAGAGAAAGTAAAAATATGGGTCACACACTTTTATGTGTGTGTATGAGATAAATTTATCTCCTATAACATGAGAAACAATAAACTCTAATTAAAATTATATAAAGATTCATATTTTTATTTTAAGTAAAATAAATAATACGACATAGACTGACCTGTACGCTTTTAGGTCAAACTTTGTAAAAGTTGACCTATGACTTGTTTTCTAAACAAACATTTTTTTAGGCTCAAACATGTTCTAATTTACTAAATATATTATGTCACGCCTGACCTGACGTAGGTCAGGCCTAACTTGATATACACCGAGTAGTAGATCTCTAATAAATCGTCTGATCCATTTATATCCCTAATTGCGATGGAGCATGGAGGCTTAAGAGGGTATTTATTTCCTTCATATTTATATAATTCTTTAAAATTAAATATTTTTATATAAATAATTATAATAATAAAGAAAAAGAATATATTATAATGCTCATATTTGTGATGGTGACTTTTGGGATTAGGAATTTAGGATGGTCATATTTTTTTCATAGACTTTTGAGTTCTGAGTTAGGTACTGATTCGATGATTCCCTCGTGGGATGATATATTCGACCTCGGCATTGATGTTAACCTTATTCGGCAATGAAGATTAATATTTGTTATAATTAATCTCTCTCCTTTGATCGTATCATTCTTTATCCGGCCTCCAAGTCTTAAGCTTCTAATTATTCATTCCATACGTAGTGTTATACCATTTTAACTACGGAAGAAAGATACAGAGTACTATTGTCTGGGTGTTAATTCCTTTTTATTTGTTAATACTGGTACATTTCTTAAAACTTTTGAGAGCCCATTTATATAGCCCTTCCAATGAAAGAAAATAATTTATTCATCAAATTAAAATATAACATGTTGTTAGGCCGATAAGGGGAGCTTATGGTGGGGAGAGTCCATCATTCATGAGCTAAGTGAGTAACGAAATCAAGTGGACTTAAACACTATACAAAACTCAAAAGCTTAAGGCATTATGTGTATTGAGTCCTTCTACTTATATGGTGCTCAATTAGCCAATTCTTAACCAATATAAGACTTAAACCACTCACACTTGATTCCTTTACATCTCCCTCTCAAATGTGAATTCTTTCATCAAAGCTTTGCTACACTCATTAAGACATTAGCTTCCCATATCTTCAAATACGCGATTCACCACAGGGCAATCCATCATTGGCTTTGATACCACTTGTTGGGTCGACAGAAGAGCTAATTGCGAGGAGAGTCCGTCATCTATGAGCTAAGAGAGTAACGACATCAAGTGGGCTTAGACACCACAACGAAACCCAAAACCTTAAGATATTAGATGTATAAGTCCTTCAACTTATATAATCTCACCTAGTCCATTCTTAATCAATGTGAGACTTCATCCACTCACATTTGGATTCCACAATACCAAAGCTCCATTAATATTGGCCCACATGTAACTCTCAAACTGATTTATGGCATTACATTTAGTTTAAGAATTATAACAAAACTTTGATGGTTGATTGTATTAATCTTATGTACATAAACTTTATTTATACCATATGTTTTTTTTAATCCCGTTTCACATGTATGATTTCTAACATGGTACTCTCAGTCAATAAATAATAGAGATAATAACTTTCAATACCACCTGCTGACATGATATGAAATGACAAGCGAAATTGGTAATCAGGACGATCAATTTTCAAAATTGTGTTGTGTTTATGTTGACAAAAATTGATACGAAAAATTTGTGTCATGTTGCGTATCAACTTGCAAACATGACACAAATTTTTTTGTAAGTTAATCGTGTCGTGTCATCGTAGAGGTGGTAAAGCGGGTAACCCGCCTCGCCATCAACATGTCTATAAACAAGCCAACTTGTCTCACCTTGCTTTTGAAATTGGGTTGCAAAACTCAACCTACATACCCCCCTCTAATCTGCCCCGCCTCGCCAAGCCAACCTGCCTAAGTATTGAAACAATGAATGTATTAAGATTTTCTTCTCCAATTTCCCTTTCTTTAAACACTCCTTAAATTTCTAGTGACTTATAAGTATTAAAGTTTGTATTTATGATTTGATTTTGATATAAAATAAAAGAGTGCAATGTAAATCATATGATTTAAAAAATAAATGAGTTATATTGGCCAACTAGCCATGCAATGGGTTCAACCCACTTTGACCAGCACTTATGTGGAGTGGGTTAAACGAGTTGGTGGGTTGCAAGCCATAACCCAACCCACCATATAAGGAAGGTTATACAAGCTGACCTGGCGAGTTGGACCTATTTTGTGTCATGTTGTGTCAACATAATATTTGTGAAAACAACATTAAATAATTAATTATTCGTATCGTATTTGCAGCCAGAATTCCTCGTGGATACATGGTTTGAGATTTGATTTGATCTTATTAATCTTCTTACCGGAGTGAATAGAATATTTCTATGAATTAATCTATTCCTGGAATACAAGTAATTCCTAATATAATTGTCTGGGGTTTGAACCGGTGACACAAGGAATATTCCTTATTTCTATTGAACAACATACGAATAGTTCCATGATTTTGGCTAAGTGATTGTTGAATTTTTGGAATCTCATCATCCACACATAATAAATTGGTGTGGTACATTCAAATTATAACATATGAACAATAACAACTAGTATTCTGATTGAGACTAGAACTCATAGAAAAGAAAATAGATTTATGAATGGAATAAAATATGCATATTACGTATTTACCATATCGTTTGTTGTATTGTATTATTTGTCTTTTTAGTTCGAAATTGGATGTATTCAACACATAATTAATTAGATATTCTTTATGAATGTTAAATAAATATCGTAAATAAATTGCTCCAAGTTGTTCGTGTCAACCAACAAAATATGTGAGTTGTGTTTATGTCAAAAATTTTGATAAAAATCTTTATGTGTCATATTGATATCAAATATATTCATATTCTTATAAGATTTGATCCGACACGAACATGATTAGGTAACACAAATTTCACCCCTAAAGTAACATTTTTTAAAATTGTTTGCTTGCATCAGCTAGTCACTACTTGGGTGAATGTAACTAATATATGTAGTAGCTCGTTCTCTAGCACTGCATGCATTCCAACACAATAAGATAAGCCACAGACCGTGACAGATTCTAGTTATTGTACTGTTGCTAGATTGCTTTGCAAAAAGGTTCCTTAAAATAATTGAAATATATGAGAAGGGAGGTTTTTATGTACAAAATTTTTATTTATAAACTTTTACAAACTATACTATGTATTTCATGAAGTATATTTACTTACCAAAATAAAGCTTAGACATACATCCCAAGTTGTTGCTCTCAATTTTATTTTATTTTTAAATTTGTTTCTATATATCTTCTTTCAAAGGAGATCGAGGACATGGAAAACAATTGTCGGCTTTGGTGATTATATATAATTGCTTTGGAGACATTGTGGTATTTGACATTGCGTATCACTCTGATAAGTTTAATTTGTTTTGTGCAACTCATATGCAAATGTTTGGTTGTGCATTCTTACTGGATGAGAGCACAAGTTCATTTACAATTTTATATGGTTGTTTAAATCTTTTTTTGTAAGACGTCATTCTAGAACTGGGTTTGTTAATGCCATTTATGATATTAAGCGCAGTTATAATCACATAATTCATTTAAAAATCATGGATATAATTTTCCTTTTAAAATCCCTTTCTTTATGCTTTCTTTGATTCTTGACACACATAATCCATATACATAATTGTAAAGTTTAATTATTGTGAAAATACTTCATAAAGGCTTAACAGCATATACCAAGTAGCCCTCATAAACTATGAAGTATTACTCCACCAATCATGTGCATCTCCCTGCAACATATAAGTAGAATGCAACACCTTGTGCTCATCGATACTCCTCGTAACACTGAAAATCTTCTCTAGTGGTTGCAACCATTTAGCAGCTGCAACAGGGTCATATCCTCCCTCAAAAAAAGAAGGTTGATGCTTCCTAAAGGCATTAAGCTTCATCTTGTACTCCTCCGCTCTCTTGCTGGATCTACGTGAGGAGGCTACTCATTCTCCCGGTTACTGGCTTCATCATTCTATTGGCTAAGTGCACCAGTATGGTGACTAGCCTCTCCTTCATTATTCCTAGCAACACCATCACCAGGACTCCCATTTCTGGCACCACCACCTCCACTCTCATGACGAGGTGGATATCGAGGGGTATGAGGTTTATTCTCTTTTCTTCTAGCCCTCATCTCAGTCAAGAAGGCCATCATTATATCTTGATTAGTCTTCATTATAGTCTCATTGGTTCATCTACTTGCAGCCATTTCTTACTGCAAGGCCACTATAGTCGCTGCTACAGGATCTACTTAAGCATTAGTATCCGCTGCTCCACGATTGCCTCGGGGTCTCACTATAATACTACACATGTTACACAAAAAATTGAGTTGATCAGACTCATACCAAGTGATTGCATATGCATAATCACAATGATAACATAAAGCAATTATAAAGCATCTAAAACATATCATATATTCTTTGTTTCCTTTCCGAAACTACTCTGATATTTTTCGTAATCAACGGGGAATGGTCAAAAAAAAAAATCTTTATAGGTCAAGATCAAGCTATGTCATATGTCATTGAACAGGCTTTTTCAAGTACGCTTTGATTACCTTTGCTCTTGGAACCTCTCCAAAAACTCCCTCTGTTTGAAACATTTTTTTTAAAGTTAAAAATTATTTTAAAATTAAAGTTAAAAAAAGTGCTTAAAAAATAAAGTTAAAATCCATTTGGTGATTATATAAAGCTATTTTGAAAGAGGAAAGATCAAATAATTTTTTATTATGAAGAATTATTAGGAAAAATGATAAAACTTATAAATACAATTTTAGAATAAGGGTAAAATTATAAATTAAATATTAAAATAAGCATTAAAAGCTTTTAGTTTTTTTCTTTATTATATTTTTTTATAATAAGAGTTTTTATAAAATTAAATATAATTAAGCTTTTACTTTTAGGAAAAAGTGTGTATCGTTTTAAAGGATGTAAAGTTGTGTCATTTTAAGTAAGAGAAAGAGATAGATAAAGGAGGAAAGAGAGTGAAAAAAAATATTAAGGTGTGGGTCCCACTTCTCTGTGAGAGTGAAATGATATAAGTTGTGTCGTTTAAAAAGACAAACAATTTTCTCTTATTTTTAACGAGAATAAAAGCTAAAAATAAGACATGTCAAACAAGCATTGATAACCAACCTAAAAGACTTAATTTAATAAATATATTTTAAGTGTTATGAGACCGAGGAAAAATTTCAGGAGACATTGGATGGAATTTTATGTAGCTTATAATCGTATCATTGGACGAAATTGACCTCTCTTAATTTTATGACATGATATTACAGTGTACGATCAAGTGATTTATAATTTGATCTTGTCATCTCTTATCTTTTCAATAATATTATAAAATTTCTTATCAAGAATAGATGAGCGTGTGCATTAACCTCTTTTAAATCTAATGAACTCCTAGTATACGGAAACGTCTCATGAATATAATATATAATTATTTATTTATTTTTATCAAGCAACTTAAAAGTTGTTTTTTTTTTTTGTTGAGTTGATTTCATATGACTTTCAATAATAACTATATATGATGCTTCTGACTTTCACTTCGAGGATGTATGGATAATTGTTATCTTGATACAAAGCAAAAGTAATGTAGCTATTTTAAGGATGGCCAAAATAATTCTTAGGAATTTTTGCAAAAAAAAAAAACTATATATTACGGAAATTATATATTTATAAAACTTTTAAAAAATATATGTACTATGAATATTATATAATTAGAATATTAATTATTTTTTACATAATTATATACTACTTATAATATATTATTATTATATTTTAATAAAAAAATTTGCAACATGAGAAAAAAGAAATTACTTTTGGACTCAATTAAGGAATTCATTGTTTATTTATTTTGAAAACATTCAACTATTATTTATCAAGGTGATATTTGGGAAGGGTGATTCTTCTTTTGCTAGTGTCAGAAAATCCAAGTTGGTTTTGTTCAGATTTCTGAGTGACTGACACTGACTGTTTTGGACTTTTGGTTGCACCATACCCCCACGGTAATAGTAATTTCCTGTTACTCACTGCGTGACGTGGGCCCTTCTTTTCTGAGCTTTTGGCCTTCCATGTTACAAACCTAGCAGCGAATCTGAGTTCGTTTGATTTTTATTTTATTTTTTTGTATACGTCGTTTGACTGAAATTTATGGAGAAGAGTAGTTGTTGTGGTAATTCAGGTCGATATGAATTTGACACAAATATGTTATGAATTTAAAATTAGGTTAAAATATTTGAAATGAATACAATCTCTTTATTTTGTGGATTGACACGACACGAATAACTCAAAGACTCATATTATAATGTTTATTATTCGGATTGGCATAATACGACATGACACAGATAACTTGTCCATCACAATACTACAAGACATGAATAATATATTTACGACGCAAATAACCTATAAATAAATTAATGTGGGTCGATTTTGTATTCGCGGATTAACATGCGAGACGACACAAATTTTGTCTGGTCAACTTTTGTCAACCCGAACACAACATAAATTCGAAAATAGGTCAATTCGAGCACGAATTTTCCGTGTTGCATAAGTAGATTGTGTTGAAAACTGCCTCCCTTATTGTGTGTACTCATTGAATTTGAAGTGAAATAAATGTGAATAGTGTGGTAAATAACCTATTTATGTTTCAATATTTTTTTTAAGTATATTGTTTTTGCAATTTGACCTAGTAAAGGTCAAATGTTTACAAAAAATTAATTTTTTCAGATCAAACTTTTGATCTTGAGGTTACACAGTCACTTTTGACTAGGGTGACGGACTCGCATTTTCAATATTTCGAACCCAAAAGCTTCTTTAAAGTTGCTATGAGAAAATTTGGTTTTACCCAATCCAATCTCACGCTCATTTATGTAAAAAATGGTTTAATGTTGAACTCTCAGCAAACGCAAGTTTGAGAACCCCAAAATCTAAACCAAACGATACTATACCATTATGAATAAAAGACAAACAGCAAAATAATCAAAATTAATGCACCTAAAAAAATGTATATATGACAAAACACCTTTACTGAGTTTAAATTCAGCATCTATGCCTAGAAGCTGGAGCAATCTATGCGTGTAAAGAGGCGATTACAAGAATTATCTATGTTGCTGGACACTATATTCTTTCAGACAAAAAAATAAAAACCAACATCTTCATATGGCCTACAAAAAAAAAAAAAAAACACAATACAACCTCGTGCTATAACGCATCAAAGGATTAATAATAAGCAACCTTACTTATCATGCCTTACAAAGGGCAACCACAATCTGCAGCTCTACTTATCAAGCCTACAAGAGCCATATTTGCTTAAATTCCAAGATTCCTTCATAATCATATCATACCAGCAAAGAGTCAAACGGGGGAAAAAAATAATATCTGGGCTCCTTCCACTGTACATAAACAAATGCAACCTAAAAAAAATTTAAGCCAGTATAGGTCAAGCAATCATATTGGTCTCAACATTGTCCTCTATCTCCAAGCTCTTCCTTTTGCACCAACAGAGGTACTCCAGAATTGGCCCATCATCTCCAATAACCCAGCTATCCTCCGCAACATCACGCAATGTCATCCTTAGTCTTGGGTCTGCAGAATTTCAATTTTCAATTTTCAATTGAGAATTAACAGAATTTTGCCACAGGAGTGATGGGGCCAACCGTTGCAATTAACAAGGAAAATGGAGTCATGGTAATGTCTTGTACCTTTGAAAAGTAATCCCCCTATTAAGTTCCTCAACTGCGGATTCATATCATTTGGGAGTACTAAAGGATTATTGACTATCTGTACCAGAAAAAATAAAAAAGTATGCTCAGATTTGTGATATGGTCAGAAAACAAGTAACATGAAGGCAAAGTATAATTACCAGGTGAAATAAGTTAGGTTGTTCAGTTTGTTTTCTTGTTTTCTTTTTTTAGCTAATATGTTTTCATTATAATTACAAACACGTCACATTAGTTCCTGTTTTAGAAATTTTGTAAAGGAAATGGGAAAACAAGTTTCCAAAACATAATAAAAACAAAAAGACTTTTCTTACTCTGTCATATGTATCTTGTAGTGTGTCTCCAAGAAAGGGGTATTCACCCAATATCATACAGTATAAAGTAACTCCTACCGCCCATGTGTCTGCAGCTTTACCATGATAGGTAAGACCTAAAAATATATCAGAAGACACGAAACAGCAATGAGAACCTGTGTTTCATAAGCTCCATAGTCCATACAGCAAAAATTATCTTACAAGCCCAAAAGGAAAACAGCATTGTACTAAAAAAAAAAAGAAGAAGAAGGAAAATAGCAACCTATAATACATTCTGGTGCAGTGAAAACAGGAGTGCCCGGTGATCGGCGAAGCTCATCATTATCATTCTGCAAAATTAAACCAATCACAGGCTCCATATCAGCTACTAGGACATTAAAATAATACACATGTAATGTCACCAACATCTCTATCGAGTGTGTATGGAGTATGTAAAGGGACGTGAGCATGTAAAAAACACTACTTAGGCCAAAATGTAATATATAATTGATAAATCATTTTTAAAAAAAATCACAAGTTCCAAGGCCCTGACCCTCCCACTCAAATTAGCTACATTTTTTTCATTACAACTTCTGATATATTTGTTCAAGGGAAAATCAAGGGTCAAAATCACTGACTTATGGTCATGGTATTTGCAAGAGTGGAGCCAGAATCACATGGATTTGCAAAAGATTGAAAAGGGAAAAGGACGGGGAGGGGGAGGGGGAGGTCCTCTTGCAAACAATCAAAGTTTGGGTCAGTGGGGTGACCTTAGAAGCACCACCACTCTGTCCCAGGATCATTGGAGCATTATCCGAATATAATTCCATGTTAGCATTTAGAATAAGGGGCCATGATATAGCTCAAGGAATCAAAATTGACAAGAGAATAGGCGTCTCTTAATGAAGTCTTTAATTTCAAGTAAAGTATTGATGATACAGTAATTACCTTACATAGTTTCATATCTTTTAAGTAATCAAATTTCAATATTTGCACTTAGAGTGCAATGATATTTCAGTTTTCACAAAGAAAGGAGATGTCCCGTGTTGCAGTTGAAGATATACTGATGCCCAAGTAAACTAATCAATTTCACATCTTTCATGTCAAGTAATCAAATTTACATTTGGGTAAAGTAATTAATTACATTACCTCAAAAGCCTGGCTGACACTGAAATCCCCTATCTTTACTGTACCATGACGAGTAACCAACAGATTATCAGGTTTAATATCCCCATGTACTATATTCTGCTTTTCAAATAAAAACAATGAATAATCAATATACAACATGATCAAACTATTTTAAAACAAACTGTGAATAAGAGTATGAACAGAAAACATAAATCATATGTCAATTTACAATTTTTATTTTATTTTATTTAGCATGCATATGTAATATCATATATTTCCATTCATATGCAAAAATTGTTTGTAAGTGTGCATTGTTTGTAAGTGTGCGCACACACGAGAGATAAAATCTTAGTCAACATCAAGCACAAAAAGATTGGTTGAGAAATATTACATGAGCATGGAGATACGTTAATCCAGAAATTATATCACGCAAGTATCTCCTAGCAGTCTCTTCACCTAAGCCACATGCGGGACCTGTACCCTCACAAACCCATTTGCCTTCCACATATTCAAGTACTGTATAAGAAAAATCAGCAGTCAAGCATAGGACTTCAAAGAGATTCTCATTCACTCAAACTTAAGGCTAAATACACAAATAGAAATTTCAGGAGTAGCAGTCAATCACTAAATAACAAAACCAAGAAGAAACTAGTCATCAGTACCCATGTAGAAGTGATCTGACTCTGGGTCATCAATCACCTCAATGAGATTGACTATATTAGGATGTTCCAGCATTTTCATAATGAGAACCTGAAAAGAAAGTAGTTGTATCTTTTAACCTACTACTGGGACAGAAGTAAAACAGCTAAAACAACCAAATTAGAAAATTAATATCATAAATGCACAAATTAGGAAGCAAAATAAAATGTAAAACCTTCGCAAAATAATTTCCATTGAAAAAATGGGAGGTACAAGTTTGGCAAAGGAAGGATGTGTATATTTTATAACGGTGACTCAAATGGATGCTACTTGCAAACAGGATCACAAATAAAAATACATGCCACAAGAAGAATACCCATAAAAGTGGCACGCATGAGGATCAAACTATGAAAAAATCAAAGACATACAGAAGAAATATACCTCACGTAGAACATCAGTCATGGCAGTTTCTGAGGGTGCAACTCGAAGTTTCAGTAAATGAGACTTATGGAAGGCCTGTAATTCAAACGATTTTCAGCTCAATAAATGGCCAACTGCAGCATTATCTTGACAACTATCAGAACACAAATTACTCATTACAGCCCTGTAAGAAAAATACCATGCCTGAATGGCCATATTCCTACCATAGAGTAACCTGCCTACCCACACCAAAAAGTGTCTTTACCTTAATTGCATAATGCTTTCCATCGACAGAGCTTCTATAAAGGGCCTGTAATGCACACAAGGAAAGAAGCTCAGGAAAACTATTTTTTTTTTTTGAGAGAGAGATGGGATAGTACCATGAATATTACACTTACCACTTTCCCGTAGCTACCGGAACCAATCTTATACTCCCGAATATACTCATTTATTATCTTGTTCCCGTTTTCATCCTGAAAGGATAATAAAGGTTCAATAAAACTTCTGGAGAAAACATATGCAATACAATAAAAAAAAATTCCTGAGTACACATAACCATTCACATAGGAACAGACAAATCAAATTTAACATTATCAATTGAATATATATAGAATTTCAACAGTCTAAGAAAGTGAGAGAAAATGAAGGAAAATGAGAGAAAATTCTGAGAGAGAAAGAGACGAAGAAGAGCCATTGTGTTATTGAGTGAAATGAATTAACTAACTAACTACATGAAAAGCAACTGAGCTCTATTTATAGAGCTAAGGCTGACTCAGTGATGAGTCAGCAATGCTAACAGAATACAAAAAGAAACTAAACAGAATCTGAAACTGACTAACAAGCTAACACAAGGGGAAAGGATCTGCTACAGCAGTGTACAAGAGAGTAAGCTACAACAGGTTAACAAATGAAAACAGCTAACGCTAATGATATTATATATATATATATATATATATATATATATATATATATATATATATATATATATATATATGGGTTACAATTATTTTGCACCTGTATAAGTTACAATATCAATCTTAGCCGTTGATCTTGGTTATATCTAACAGCTCTATTTTATTAAATATATGAGCTGTTAGATGCAAGCAGATCAATGGCTAAAATTGGACGTAAGACTTCTTATTTTTTTTCATCCTGTAAGTTGATCCTTGATATAAACTGTGGTAATTTACGGTTACAAGTGAAGAAACGGGAAACAACACAATAGCAGAGAAGACAGCAATGACCCAAAACATTTAAATGTTCAGCCACAACTTCATGTACAATCTCTAAAGATGGTACAAATAGGGTCTAAAAATTAAAACCAAACTTCCTTTGACATGTAGTATTACATTAATATAATTGATAAAGTTCTTTTGTATTTAGGTTAAATAAATCTCAAAAATTTATATTGCGGCTCAATATAAACATACCATACTATGAAGGAAGTAATAGTCTGGAAACCATGATGTACTCAAAACTCAACAAGTACAATTTTCACCAGTAATATACTCAAGATCATTCACATATTTCAAATACCACACTAGCCCACCTAGTTTTGATATTTCACTGTACATCAAAATCACACTTACAGTAAAAAATATAAAGCCACTCCGACAAAACAATTACCTCTGTGCGAACAACTTTGTGAGTTTCCTTAACAGGAAACTGCCTACAAATCATGCCATTGTCTACTCTCAAGTTCAAAATTTCTTCCGACCGCTTGGGACGAATTTGCACCTCACTATCATCTCCACTAGTTGTGTTAGTACCCTCATCATTATACGAATGCTCTTCATCTTCAATGTCATCATCCAACAACAGCTCCTGGGAGTGATTATGGTTGATGGTGGGCTTAGCCATTGGACTGTTCCGTCTCCTGATGAACCCGAAGCAATTACAGCACCCCATCGCTTTGGCAAAAGAAAGAGTCTTATTGAACATCCGGATCTTCAACCTTATCGGTAATTGATGTATATCTAAGCCTAAAAATTTTAAAATCTGTAAAAGAAAGTGTCTTATTGAACATCTGGAGCATGGACCTTAAAAGTAATTGATGTATCTCTCAGCCTAAAAATTGAAAAACCTGCAAAAGATCATTTTGTTATGCCAACAACAATAAAATATCAGATCTTAAAACTCAAAAATCTTATCAAAAGCATGAAAACACTAAACATGAAGGTTCTTACCTGATATTAGAGGAAGGAAGTGGGCTTCAAGCCCTACACAACGTTGCTATTCTAACGGGTGCCATTCAGCTAGGTGGAGAAAACTGCTACAGATATTAAAGCCACTACTATGATTCACACCCAACATTGTGATAACTCCAGCTTATAACAATCGTTGCAGGCTCAGCCCACAAACAATTCGTTGACCTTTTCCATGAAATGAGAACAGAAAAAATTTAAAATTTTAAAAAGTGTAAAAAAAATAAAAACCTTAATTTTAAAAAAATAAAAATAAAAATTGGGTGAACATTGGAGAAAATAAAAATGAGAAATTTGCATAGAAAGCTCAGAAGCCTTTTAGCACAAACGAAAATGACAGATGCATTCCAATGTTTCACAAAGTTACCTCCTTTTGTGGGCGCCCTGTCACCCCAGCTCCAAAAAACCTAGAATTCCATCTCGAATCGAGGGTCTTTTGGGGAACTAGAAACCCTAGCTTGTAAATTCAATTGCAGAAACCGAAAATGAGAACCCAATCGCAATCCGGAATCCGAATCGAGAAACCCCTTAGATGGAAGAAATGAATTCAAAAAATAAAAATAAAATTGAAAGGTGAGTGATGAAAGAGGATGATGAAGTGAAATTGAGATCAGGGAACAAGGAATATCTTGGGACCGCGTCCCAGGTTGAAGTTGTTATCTTACCCGTTTGGGTGCCATAATTGGGATTTTAATACTTTATTATTATTATTATAGCCTTCAAAGTTTTAATTTTATTTTTATTTTTGTGTCAAAAAGAAAAAGAAGAGAGAGAAAAAAAAAACAAACTTTAGGATTTGGAAAAATAACTTAGTAACATTTATTGAATGTAGTAAATATAAAATTTAGTTTTATGTTCCTTAGTTTTAAATGTTAGTTTGTAAATAATTTTTAGTAGTTTATTTATTGTCTTATGCATGATTGTTCACGCAACTAATATCTTCTAACACATCGAATTTCTAATTGTACAATTAAAATTTCATTTATATAAATATTCTTAATAATTATTTTTTGTAATATGAATTAATACAGTGTAAGCCAATACCTAAATCTCTTAAGTAAAATCTCTTCTCAAGTTGAGTATATTTCTACTCTATAATACTAAGTCAAATATATATGTCAAAAAATTGTTGGTAGGTTAAATTTTGTAAAATAATCAGAGTATATAAATCTTGTATAATTTTTAAGTAAAATTATCAAATAATGATTCATATGAAATCTACGCGTTAACTACTTTGAAGAGGAGAAAAAAAAAAAAAACATAACAAACATCGCATCATTGCCACTTATAATTTTTAAACTAGAATACAAATACTATAATTTGTTTTCTTAAATTTAAGCGAGGCTGCTTTCTTTTCATCATTTATATGTTAAAACAAATTTAATGTGAAATAAAAATTAAAGAAATATAAATAGTTTGAATGATATAAAATAGAAGATAAGACTTTTTAAAACAAATTTATCTATAATAAAAATACATATTTAAAAAAAAAATTATAAGTTAAATTATAAACAAATAAGGATAGAATATTGTAACAACCAAGTAGTATTACTACTAATCAATTTCATCGTTAGATCGATTATGTTGATCCAACGTTATATTTATTTCTATTTTTGTATGATTATGATTCCTTATATTTAGTACTTTATATTTATTTTCACCTTTGTATGGTTATGATTTTTCATATTTAATACTTTCATTTTAAATATGGAGAATCATAACCATACAAAGAAGAAAATAAATATAACCGTTGGATCAATATAATTGATCTAACAGTGAAATTGATTGGTAGTAATATTAATAATAACAATATTTAGTTGTTACAATATTCTTCCCCAAACAAATATACTCTGGCTTATACATTTTATTAAAAAATCTTCAACGCATGTAAGAGTTACATCATTTGTAAATGGTCCTCAGACATAGACACAAACAAATATTCCACGGGCAAGCATAGACACTTCTGATTTTTGACGACAACATGAGAAGCCGAAGATTTGTGGTTCATTTTTGTACCTTTTTATTAATGAGTACCACCATCAATCTGTTTTAGGTCATCATCCTACCTCTTTAATGTGTCTCAACTAACTCCACTTTAGCTACCTTTCAGTTGCTTTTGTGGTAGAGGGTTTTGGAACCCTGGAAGCATTGATTTAGGCAAGACCCACCTTGTAGATATTTTGTAGGTAACGTTTGACTCTCGAATATAATGTAATGATTTGTTTTACTTTTTATTTTTCTTTTAATAAAACTAAATTGTATCTTTTTTATACAAAATACATTATTTTTTAATTCTATGTCTTGTTACGTTTTTTTTAGAATGAGAATAACATCTATCTTTTAAAAGGATATAATCATATATCATTTTAGAACTTAACCGTTGATTTTCGTCCATCAACGATTATAATTTATTTGATCAAAATTATTAATTAATTAATAATAAGTTTGGTCCATTAAATTTGACCCAATAAATTATAACCGTTGATGGACGAAAATCAACGGTTAGGATCTAAAATAACATATAGTTATATCCTTTTAAAGGATAGATGTTTTTTCCTTTTAGAATATATTAAATGTAAAATAAAATGCTTAGCATCATTTTATATTAGTGTAAGTTGGTTACGGTCAGTAACAAAGTTGTAACTAAATGGTTGTTAATAGAAGTTAGTTATGGGATAATCAAGTTTTATGTTGTGGCGAATGGAAATTTTATGCAGCTAACCCTTCGAAAATTGAGCTGTTAATTTTTTTATTTCTTTATTTTTTTTATGGTGGGTTCCATTTTTCTTATTTTTGTGACATGAAAGTGTTGGAACAGTGACCAAAATGTTACTATTTATCAAGTTTTTTACCTAAATGCTATGCGAATAGTGTTATTTTCCAATCTGCCACGGGGGCGAGTTTGCTACCTGGTATAGCGAACTCGGTTTGCTGAGTGTCACGTTTCTAGTGGACACCAAGTTCGCTACACGGGGTAGCGAACTTCATGTTTGTTTTTTTTTTTTATTAAACTTTGTACTTGTTATCCACTAGAAATGTGACACATCAGCAAATCGAATTCGCTACACCGGGTAGCGAACTTACCCGCGTAGCAGATTGAGAAATAACACTGTTCGCGTGACATTTAGGTAAAAAACTTGGTGAACAGTGACATTTTGGTTACTGTTCCAACACTTTTCATGTCACAAAAATAAGAAAAATGGAACCCACCATATCAGTGATAACAACTTGCTGGGTTTTTTTACTCTTAATGGCTTGCCTCCTACTCTCGGCGGCCATCCTATTTCTAAAACCCAGCAAGCCATTAGGAGGCAAGCCATTATGTGGAATCAAAAGAAGAATTACCTAATTTGGATACCCGAGTCAAAAGTTATGACCTTCAGAAGTTTTACGATTAAATTGTTAAAAAAAATTTGAAAAAAAATGTGACACGTGTCAACACATGATGAGTGGCGCCTAAATTAGGCGTGACTGCCTCTTTAATGACATGAAAAAAAATTGATTTATTATTTTTTAAATAAAAAATTACGAATTTATGGCTGTTTTGGAAGTAATTACACATTTATTGCATAATATCACACCCAAATGTTATAGAAATAAATAAGGGAAATGTTATAATTACTACCTTTTTTTCTTATTACTTGTTACAACTAAATCTTAATCGTTAATTTTCGTCAATCTAACGATTATAATTTATTGAGTCACACTTATTAATTAATTATTAATTATTAATTTATTGGGTCACAATCTAACGATTATAAGATAAAGTCTCATTGTTGCATATTCAAATTATGTTTGTGAGAGATAAAATATGTCAAATGTGTCATTACGTAGATCTCGAAAAGTTATGTGAAATAAAAAAAATTACCTGATTTGGATACCCGAGTCAAAAGTTATGACGTTCAGAAGTTTTATGATTAAATTGTTAATTTTTCTTTTTGGAAAAAATTGTGACACGTGTCAACACCTGATAAGTAACGCCTAAATTAAGCGTGACTGTCCCTTGAATGACGCCTAAATTAGGCGTGATTGGTGACGCCCAAATTGAACGTGATATTGTGCAATAAATATGTAATTATTTTTAAAATTGTCATAAATGCGTAATTAATTTATTAAAAATTATTAAATTAATTGTTTTGCCAAAGTTACACTCATAATATATTTATCGTTAATTTTTTTATATATAACGATTTTTATTTATTAGATATGTGAATCATTAGCAAATCCATGCTAGGATTTAATATAAAATTTTGTATTATTATATTAAGAATAATGTGTCCCAAAATAAAATTCATTTATTATATTTTATTCTGTTGTAAAACATAGTATTGACATAAAAATATATATATATTTATTTAAAATAGCGACATTGATATCTTAAAAATCATTACATTAATTAACATAAATACAATAAAATATTATTTATCTATTGTAATATTGTAATGTTTCAATTTTTATTAATACAAAGAAGCAAATCACGGTGAATGAGGTTCCTCCATTTGCGGTTCCTCAATTTGCGAGGGTATATTTTTATCTTTATAATTTTTTATAAAAAAATTGTTTCTCATATTCAAACTTATAACCTTCCTATCAAAATGATCAACCTACTGTTACTTCAAGACTTGTTTTTTTAAAATATGAAAATTAAAAAATAATTAAGTAAAGGAAGATATCATATTTATAATATATTTTTCTCACAGCTACATTATTTATGGTGGACCAAAATTAAATTAATAGTTGATTCAAGAATAATATTATTTTATATTTATTGATTTAATTTTGATCCAACGATAAAAAATATGATTGCAAGGGATTGTAAGAAAAAATAAGTTATAAATATTACTTCATTCATAAAAAAGATGGGCTAAAAGTATTTTATAAAAATATTTCAATAGTATCAAATACAATAAGCAATTTACCTTGGTATAAAAGTCGTTTTGAAGTATCATTATTTCATAGCTTACATTAATACATTCTCATCCATGTCTTTGAAGTGATAGCAAATTCCTCGGCAAGGAACCCTAATTATCTTTAAGATGGGGCCATTACAGCTTTCATTCCCTGCAGGTTCCGAATTATTATTTTTATTTTAATGACTAAGGAAATGAAACAAAGAACAACAAAACTAAAAAATACATAATCCTTGTTATAAAAAAAAAAAAAAAAAAAATACATAATCCTCTGAATAATGTGAACGTCTCAATCTTCTGCAACCATATAGGTGAGAACATTTATTGATATTAATGCGTCACTGGAACATTTTTATAATACACACATTGTACTAGCAAAATGTTTATCGGACCTCCATTAAAGTTATATTTGGTATTTTGACCATATAAAAACAACCCTTTAAAAAAGAAATTAAAATATCAAAATCGAAAAGATTTATCAAAATATAAAATAGGGGAGTCTTTGGGCATTAAACAAATCAATTTTTACCAAGTGGTATAAGCTAAATTAGCCGTGATTATTTTGTGTCTAATTTTCATTCAAAACGTAAGCCTTTGCACATGCCGAGCGCATAAGAGTCTGTTTGTTTTGCCTTCCAAAAAAGTATCTTTTATTTTTTTCTTATTTTAAAATATGTTTTTACAAAAATTAAAACTATTTATATTTTTTATAAAAATATTTAGTTTTTGAAAAAAATATTTGACTTTTGA